TTAAATTTCGGACTTTTTAGAGTGTAATATAGCTGCTGTGGTGTGCGTAAATTTACTACGAAAGTGTGTACAAGCTACAAAATACACATCTCCTGTTTGATTTCACCCGTAGAATGGTGTAAAGCCGCTAACAAAAAGGATTTTTACACACGAAAATTTGTAGACGAGAAAAATACATATTCATCGTGTAAATTTACCAAAAAATTTAAAAAATAAACAAAAATATACTCGATTCAAAGTCGCATTTTTAAACAGATTTTTTAGAGTGTAACACAAGCACGCGAATGCTGCGGCCGCTTGTCTGGCGCTTCAAATTCACTGATAAAGTTATTGCTTGCTTGTTGCTTTTGTTTTTGCATGTTTTGCGTAAACACTATTGTGTTGTCGCATGTTGTTGTTGAGTAATTTTCTACATACTTTTATTTTACCCGAATTTTGAGTATTTTATTTATGGCTGGAAAAATATTTTGCGTGCATTTTATCGGACTGCGGAAGTGGCAAAATGTTTTAGTAAAATTTGTGTAAATATTCTTTTGAAAGGAGTGCTTTTAATAACTTTTAGTGGTTTCGTATACATTGTGATATTGGTGATTGATCGAAAAATTTTAATAACAACTCGACTTTTATTATTTTGTTGTAAACGTTATTTATTTAACAATTATGGCCCAATTAAGTTGAAAATTCGGTTATTCTTAGTACAGATTTTCACTTTTAATTACTTAACGATATCGTTAGCTTGTTGGTATTGCGACTGCAGGGTTAAGTTCGAATAGGACCTTAGCACATCTCAGTAACCTTCGACATATAGCCTTCTCAAGTAGCACACTGGTGTATAACTTGGTGTAAATTTGTGAATTTTGGTACAATTAATCAGATTTATACCAAAATTCGTAAACTTACACCAAGTTATACACCAGTGTGCTACTTGAGTTATAGGCATGCCGGCCCCACACCTGTAGTTAAAAGCCCGTGCCAAAGTAGGACCAGATACAATACGGGTCCTTTGCCGACGAAAGACTGGCTGTGATGTAACCAGGTGCTAACCTTGTAACTGTACAAAGGGATAAGATCACCTACAGGTAGTGATGTACGGTTCCGAGGATTTAAAGAGCCGGTTCTTTCGGGCGCGTTTCGGAGGAGAACCAGGTAGTTGGCCCGGTTCCGTTTCTCAAAAAAGTGCTAATACAAATAAGTTCTATCGATGTAGCTCGAAAAAGAGATTATAAAAAGTGTTTACAAAAAATCAATTCAACTTTATACCAGCTCAAGAATTTTACATTTACGCAGTAAAATAATTAATTGTCAACATTCGTATTATCCACTACAAACATGCACTTTTTCATCGCTCAAACACAAACTACAAAATGAACCAAAGAACAGAAAGTTTGCAGTTGCTGCGAATGCCTGTCGATTTTCGGTTCTTTTTTGAATGGTTTTTCAGTTTTACGATTTTTTTTTTTTCTGAGACCATTTTTCGGTTCTTCTTTTCTTCCGTTTTTGCATAGCTGGGCATCGTTCTTCAGCTCTTTTGGTGTCTGTTTGGAATCGAGATTCAATTCCTTGTAAGGTCCGTATCAGTCGGTTCGTCAAAGGACCCGAACCTTGGGATACCTACCGGCCACAGAAGAACCCTACACACTGGAAGGTATTCTTGAACTAAACTGTATATGCACTGATTAACTGCTGCCCCAATATTAGAAACTGGTACAGAGTCAGAAGGCGACAAAGTCCCGCCTGCCTTTAAAGTAGTCGCCGATAAGGTTGACGGAAACATGGAAGTCAAAAGATGCAGACAAGTTACAGCGTAATGAAGTTGCTACAAACTGATTTCCATTATTCTAATGTTGCTTCAGAACCTCTGTTCCTGCACCTAAACGAAACCGGAGAGAAGCTTGTTTTTATCCAGGAGCTTTAATGGTTAAGCACAAGGTTTGTGGACTCAGTGTGAGACCGTGTCATCGCCATGGCCAGGCAGATACTCACCCAGTCCCCAGCGTGGCCAAGCGAAGAAACCGTTTCGCTCCATAAACGGCCCATGGCTGTCAGGATGTAATACCTGGGTACTTGATCTCATCGGAGTTTTCCAGCACTGACACCCAAGAGTGACTGAAACAAGGTTTGGTTTATACCTTATTGTATGCGATACAAGATCAGGCTTTTGAGCATATATGCTGAGGCCCTCAGCGCGCATCAGTTAGAATTTGGAAACAATCTGTTTGTGAGCTTACAGAGCACGTGCTGTCAAACAACAGCCTATGCTGATGACCTTGAATTAAGAGCTGGGCTAAGCACTCTCAAATTGCGGACATATACAAAATCTATCATCATGGTTACCGTTGAAAGTTAAATAAAGTTAGATCAGAAAAGCCTAACATATATTACAATTTCATCCAAGTTAAACTGATCGGACAAACAAAACAAATATTTATAAAGTTGAATTTATAAGTCATCACGATCATGGACATACATACATACATATATAATTTCAGATACCGACTATTTGTAATTCAATTGACTAAATAAACCATACTTGAAATCGGTACTGATTCGCTAATCTGTGGATTTAATCACTGAAAATGAAAAAATGTATCCTGAAAAGTAAGTTTGAAAGCTCCAACACCTAAATTATGAAGAGTTTGTGTCAGCTGAAGTCAATATGCATAAACAATCTTCTCTTTTCAGCAGGCTTTAATAAAACTCTTTACCATCCAATTAAAACTCGTTATCCTATCAAAGCACAGGCCCAAATAATACATGAACACATACTCATTTTTTCTCTTTAAAATTTGCTTTCAACTTAAATACTGCAGTCATAGAGTCCTTGACTTTTACAGTATTTGCCTATTTAATTATTACTACGTTTCAACCACAAGCACGAAATTGAGCGGTCATAAGCCAGGGCATGTAGTATACACATACATATGTACATATCTGCTATAAGAATATCAAATAGAATGGAGAACAATTATGATGCGAATGGAATGAAAATGACAAGCAACTGCAGCATAAACAATGACAGTATTAAGCATACAGAGGCATATGAAAGCAATTCTAGCGTGAAATGTTCACATACACGTATGCAAATAAGAAGCACACACACACACACTCAAACAAACACTCGTATGCCTATAATATCATCACATAGTTAATATTAAATAAATGCATCTTCATTAGACTGCATCACTCCCAATACAAAAAAAAAATTAAAAATCGGTACCGTTTTTCCTTTGGAATTTTAAAATCTATAATATTTTAAGACTGACACCAAAATATTTCGGAAAAATATTATGGTTTACATAAGCTGGACCGATGTGAAAATAAAAATAGTTTTCTTAAAGTGTTTTTTGAAAAAATCTGCATAAAAACATTTAAAAATCTTTTCAACGGAATCGTAATAATGAGATTTTTGATGCTATTTTTTAACTTTTTCCAAAGATTGATTTACGAAAAACTTGAATAACTGGGCCAAAACTATTCTGATTTAGACTTATGGGATCTCAATATTTTCATTTCTGTGCAAAAAATACTCATTCGTGTCCCAATTTTTTTTTTT